CGCGGCCCGGCCTCCCCTCCCCCCCGCCGTAATCCCCTCATCAGCCTAATGCTGCTTGCCGGTACTTTTATCAGCTTCTCCAGCATCATCTGCTGCCCTGCAAGCGGTGACCTAAAAAGTGTTAATCCTGTTTACATTTTACAAGGTCAAAGAGGAACCTCCATCTACTTTGTTTGTTTTACAATGGAAAGAAGACCAAGTAACTACTGGATTAAAAAGAAAATGTAGTTTCAGTCAGTGTATTAGTGCCCTGTAACTAGTTGTGATGATCTGAGTAGTTCCTCTGTGAAAAACAGAGCCTAAATTCTTTTGCAGTGATGTCTTTCCCTTGTGTGTTTCAGGGAAAAAAGCCACAGACAAGCCTGGAGCTGAGATTTTTTTAAAATCCGAATTAGGTCAGTCAGGAGAATAAGAAATTTCTATTTAGAAACCATATAGAAAAGTAAAACTTCTGTCTCTTTCAATAACAGTAGAAGAATTTTTTAATTGAAAAACAAAAATGTTCAGGTGTTTGAGACAGTAAAAATACTATATTTTCTGTTTTTCATTCTGAGCAGAAAAAGTTGAAGAACACCTCCCCCATATTTAAGAAGACTGAAAGCAAACTTCAGCACTTTTTTTTCCTCTCTTTAAAGCAGCCTTAAATATTATGCAGTAACTACTAAACCACTTGGACAGGATACTGAGTGTTATAAATATATGTAGCATGCAACTTTAGATGCTGCTTCATGAGAAAAGAAACTACGCTTTATTTTTCTTTTTTTCTTTTTAGCTTTTGGCTCTTATATTCAGTTCTACTTAGTTCCTTCCTCTAACATGTACATGTTCAAGTTCCACATTAGTAAAGGTAAGTTTGCTGTCTTAATCTTTTGGACATCAGAAGAAAGACACAATGCACAGGAAACAGGAATTGATAAAATTAAACTGCCGTTAGATGTTGCAGAATCATCAGAAATAACTATCTTATCAACAAATAGAAGTCCTATCATTTTTCTACAGTAAAGCAGTTTCATATAAGATAAATAGCTTTCAGTCACTGTTGTCTATGATATGGCCAGAAGAGTCCAAGATATGCATCATTTTGACACATATATTCTAATACTACTTTAGACAGTAGGATTATATTCAGACCTCTGAAAAAAATCTGAGGCCCTTAGCCTTGGTATTAGATGTGTGATGCATACTTATCTTCCTCACTATTTAGTAATGAATTGAGTATTTGTTATTCAATGACATAGATGTGCATGACATATGCAGGGATAGAACTCTTTTTTTTTTTTTTTTCCTTCACCAGCTCTTTTCTCTTTTTTAATGAGTTTAAATGCCAGTTTAAACCAGAGGAGTGGCAGAAGGCTTGGATTTTTGTCTTGGAAAAAAAGAAGTTACCCAGCAGCAAAGCCTACTTCATGAGTGTGCCCTCTGAGAGATTGCCTTCATCAGTTTTGCCCAGAAGGAGAACTGGGCTAGAAGCACAATGCTTTAGGCTGAGTCACTTGTGTGCCTTTCTGGAAGGTGCAGCAGTGATGTACTGAGCAGCATCATACAATAACTAAACAACTAAACTAAATAAACTAGAACAAAGTGTGTCTTCAAGGCTGATGCTAGCCCTCCTAGGTACGTATGAAGGCTGTGTATCAACCTGTAGTGACTCTACCAGTTAGACCACCTAAGTGTTAAAATGAAATGAAAACTCAGAAAGCATCAAACTCAGAAAGGATCATTTTGAAGCAGTAAATGGCGATACTTCTTGAAAAGAAGCAGAGAAACCTGAAGTGGTTCTGTATACATATGCAATACTTTGGGGACTCAAAGGAGTAAAACTTTTGTGGATATATAGACATGCAACGTAAAAAATTGCACTCACTGAAGTCAGTAGCGTAGCTTTTCTGGGAGGGATACTGAACTGATGTGAGAGGAGAGTCTGTGAAAACAGAAATGAGAAGTTTCTTTTTTCTCTAAAATCTGGAAGCAAACAGATGAGCCTGAAAAAAGATGAAAAAGACTAATACTACTCATGCAAGGATGAGCTTCCTTGGGAAATCTGGAAATATTATGTCCAGGTCAATGAGTTGTACTACTGTACAGAAGGGGAGATTTTCTTTGAGCACTATTTGTCCTTGACATGATATTGTGTAATCCCGTGTACTTAAAGGGTCTGCCCAGTGTAAAATGGTTCTCTTGATGCTAGGACCTCACGTAAGGAATGCAACTGAGAACTGAAAGTTGTGGCCTCAGCTATCTACTATCTTGTTGTCAAAAGTACAACAAATAAGGAACAAACTTTATCTGGTACTGGCAGTGGGATTTAGAGTACGATCTGGCACTTAAATAAGAAAAATAAGCTAAGGAATTTGATTTGGGGAGAAAAGCATAAAATATTATCCCCCAAATAGCACATATGCACCTTTTTTTTTTTCTCCTATCAAATGCACTGTATGCACATCTCCAACGAATTCTATTTCTTCTTTAAGTCAGAATAGCTTTGGACTAATGTAACCCACTGGACTTCAGGAGTGAACTTCTTGACTTACAGTCTTATAAGTGAGAAGAGAATCAAGGCTATTTTGCACACACAAAAAAAACGTGTGTCCTGGGAAGCGGTCAGGAAAAAAGTTCCAAACTTCTTTTATTACTTTATTCATTAACCATCCAGCAACTGCTTCACTTTAAAAATAGCATCCTACAAAAGCACAGACATCCATCTCCTGTCTAGAAGCCATCTGGGAGAAGAATGGAAAGCTATTAAGAAATACTTTATGAAAAAGAGCTTTTTTTTCCTCCCCAGCCAGGAACTCATGGAAACCAGTCCTTTTTGTCCCAAATATATAGGTCTGATCAACTTATAGAAAATCTAAAAAGAGATCTGGGAAGGGGGGGAAGGTCATGAGGAGCTTACAAGACCTTGCAGTTCTAGGATAGCCTTGCTACGTGAAGTACTTGAAGATGGTGAATTTGGGCCTGGACTCCCAGGAAAGGCAGAAAGAAGATAGTGCAGTACCAGGAAGCAAAATCTGCTTAAAAAATGCTATGTGGTAGCATTTGCTAAATAAAACCTACTTTTTAATTCCTGGTATAAGATGGGTAAAGTTTTTCCTTTCAAATTCATTCAGGTCTGAATCAAATGTAAGATGAAAAAATCCTCACTGCCAGAAATGCTACATTTTGGACAGCTTTAAGAAGCATATAATGTGGAAACTATTGCTGCAGGTCTTTTTGTTAGAAAACTCAATAGCTGTTTATTCTGCAACATGAATTATATAGTCACCAGTATGCGGCATGAAGAAATCGCTTAGTATAACATACAATAAATATCAAGAAAAAGCCAAGGGAAGAAAAAGAAATTGAAAGCCCTGTAAAAACATCTGGACATTTCACAAGATCAGATATCACATTAAAGAAACATTAAATCTTGTTTTACTACATATATAGTAGAATCTAGTAAAATGAGGCTATGTTCCAGCACGATTGGCTGTTCTGAATAGTAGCAGAGTCACAAAAATTCAGAAACCCTTGCATTTCAACTCTGGACTGTACCTAAGACTCCATCCGTTAATCAAACATGTGCTTCATGGAAGCACGAATGTAATGCAAAGACATGGAAGCCTTCCAAGCTCTGTGAGAAAGACGGGCTTAGAACAGTAAATACGGTCTATGGCCTTAGCATATTTTTTCACAAAGCTTATAAAAAGTGTGAATTTTTACCTGGAAAAGTGCTGAGTGTATCTAGAATACTCTTGGCCAGTAAACAGATTACCTTCTAGCTGTGGGTAATTATGCTGCTCACTTCTAAGCAATGCAGAAAATCAATTTTAATTAAAAAATCATTTATGCTGGACTGAGTCATGCCCATTTAGGAAAAAAAAATAATATTGACCTAGGAAAGTTCAGTTCAGATGCAGAATCCACTTTCACAGTAGCACCCAGCTCTTTCAACCCAATTTTCCAATCAGATTGACAGAAGGACAAAGAGGTCAAATGATTCGGACAAAGTCAGACTCATGCTGAGCTTATCCCCAAGATCATCTTGACTCCTCGTCTTTCGTTATAACGACTTAACAGATAGCTTCTATCAGTTTTAGTCTCTAGTATCTTCCTTTTTAGAGCAGGTTGTTCAATTCTGTTCTGTCCCTACCAGTCACAGGACAAATGCTACGAACCTTTAACAGACAGACAAGGCAAAGATTTGATTCAGTCCTGATTCAAGACAGTATCCCAAACTGGGAAAGTGTTTATGCGTGGCTTACCTTAAAAAAATACGTAAGTTTGATGGAGTTCAACTAGACTTAAATGAATGGTTATCACTGGCATGGTATATAAAGATGCCTTGGTTCTGGTCCCTGTGAGTATTCATAATTTCTGGGAATATTATTTCGTTGAATTTGAATACTAGAAGGCTTGGCTATACCTATCTAAAGTGGATGTGAAGCAAATATTCATTTAATCTCTTGGTCTAAGACTACAGTGTCATCACTGATTTTGAAGCATGAGTCACTTTATAAGATGTAATGTTATTATTTCCAGAACCATTACAAGAATTTAAACTATTAGACTACCATACGGATAACGTCAGGGACAGTGTTTCAGCTGAAGAAGTGACTTAATCCCATGCTGCCAATTAAGAAGAACCCTATTTGGATAATTAAGGTAAATTTATTAGTTTTCAGTGTACAGGACAGGTAAGGACCTTGTTAGGTTTGGTCCTTGCATAAGTGTATATAGAATATTAAGTGTTAAGTCACCTTCAGAAAAAGAAAAACTTGGTGTGGTCTCCTAAAAAGGTCTAAGACTGCTTGCATGCTTTTTGTTACACAAGGAATATAAATACTAAACCATATACTCACTACTCCAGAATAGTTTGACACTCGCGTGGTCTGTTAAAAACCACTATGTGTTGGTTTTGTTTTTCACACTGATGCAAAATTACAATCTAGCATTTTTCTTTTCTTTTTTTTTTTTTCTGTGTCAAATATCGATATAAAAAACCAGACACAATAAAAGGCGCAGAAAGTGCAGCAAGGCTAGTTACCAAGAAGTATAGACAATATACATATAGTCAGTTTAAGGGCAAACTAGAGAAGCAAACATATTTTCAGATGATTTCCAGCTAGATCTCTGTAATACAATTCTTGGAAAAAATAACCCTTTTTTTCTGGGATTCACTCTTTCAATCACCACTTCTACATAGAGAGCAGCCCTTCGAGAGTCCTTTTCTAGCTTGTCACCTCAGAAAGCTACAGACCTGAAAGAGCTAGTGAAGTGGTGGTGGGCAAAGAAAACCCTTTTAATGCCTCTCCAATGTGTTTGCAAGAGCCTTACTTTTCCCTGACTAAGAACAGGAAAGATGGCACGTACAAATGGAGTCCCAAAAAAGCCCAAACATACAGTAAAAACCAAGGTCAGCAAAGGCACAAAGAAGGAGATTAGAGAACATTTGCAGGGAAAGCTGAATGGATGAGGTAGCCAAAGATATGCCCAGAAACCCAGAGAGATTTAGGTACTGAGGCACCTAGGGGGTATATATATATATATATATATATATGTGCATGCAGGTGTATGCATACATATGTACATGTGCTGGAGTGAGAATGGAAAGCTGCCTACCTACTGAGGAGATATACAAGAATTAGTATTAAAATATCCCAGGAAGGCATTGCTTTTCCAAGTCTCCTTTCTTTCAGATGCTTCTCAATTGCAAGTGCACATTTGATGAAATGACTGCTCAGCATAGGGGTGAGTATGCACAAATATTCATGAAGAGGAAATGTTTTGGCTGAGTGTCTAATTAAGTAGATGCTTAACTCTAGTTTCTAGGAGGTTGACATAAATTATTTAAAATTAGAAATCAGGCTGGAAATATCGTTAAAATATCATGGGAACAGTATTTTCTATTCTGTATGCTAGCTTTTCCACTCCTAGTGAAAGGAACAAGTGAAGAAAACATAATGGTGATCTATACACATACATATACACACACCGTATGATCAGTTTTCAGACGCTCACTGGAAACGTGAGTCAGATTCATTTTGAGAAAAGAATGCAAACCAGCTATTAGTATATATCCCTTTTTTTCTTTTTTACAAAACCTTCCTACAAAAGAAACTGACTTTGATAAGGATTTAAGTGTGGGATGAAGTAAGGGAAGGAAAACCTGTATTCTTCTGCAGACTTTTATTTAAAAAAATTTAAAGAAAATTTTGGAGTATTTGGAGTAATCTCCATTTTGGTTAAGATACTAGTGCAGAGTTCGGGAGGTTTTGTTTTCTGCTCTTGCACAGACCTTGTGACTTTTGGGAAGTCACTTAACCTCTGTGGGGGTTGGGTCTCCAACCATAAATAGGGTTGTTCTTAAGCAGTAGTTGCTACCAATCTCTAGGGTAGGACCTATAAATCAGAAATTTTAAATCATTCATGCATTGCTAGTTCAGTAATCATATACATAGCTACAAGAGTTGTATGGTTTGCTATCTGAACAAATAGAAAGCCATCTGACTCCATGTTTCATATTTAAAAGAAAAGTCATTTAACAGATCAGTGTGAGAATCACTATTTCTTTAAATGTGTTTCTTCAATTAGAACTTGCACATGACTTAACAAAGCTTAAACACTTACTGTCATAGTCCTGTAGATTTTCAATTGCTGATAACAATCTTGCCCTGTCTTCTGGGTTTGAAATATTTAATTCAATCAGGTGGCTCTCCTGTAGGTACTTTAAGTCCTCTAGAGTTTCGTAGCCATTTAGCAAGAGGGTTGAGGCATATTCCTACAAAAAGAACAAGCAAATCCTCTCATGTAAACAAGGACTTTGTTTAGTAGAGGAATAGGCACAATTTCTCTTTGTCAGGTTGAAACGGGCTCCATTCTCCAGCCTGATTGACCCACCTTTGGCATAAAACCAGAGCTGGAGAGCAAGAGAGGACAGAGGCGGAGATGCCTGGGGGTCCTCCTGACCATCTCAGCCTCTGTGCCTGAGTTGTCTAATGCAGTCCAGCAGCAAATTGGACCGGGACAGAGTTCTGCTAGAAATGATTTAATCTGCTGAGGATCTGGACTTTTGGGGTCACTCCATGAGCGCCTCCCTACCCTCTGAGGTAGGGTGTGCTCTGCCTTTGCACAGAAGGAGCCCTTTGATATAAGCGCGGAGGAGAAGCTGAGGGAGCCCTCAGCCGTCCTGTGTCACACATAGTCCCCCCAAGCTGTGTGTTGACACAGTATGAAACTGCGCGTACTCCAGGGAAAGGAGTGTTTGCATGAGCACCAAAGCAATAACTGTTATTAAATATGTTACCTGTAAATCACGACCTAATTACTCTTTGACACTCAGTCAAGAACTAGGGTTGCAGAGAGGGACAGAGGCGCAGCATGAACATAGTGCAGGAAGACTATTCCTCCCTAAAGATCACAAGAAATTAGAAACCCAAATTCTAAATGTTGGCACTGGAGTCAGGCTGCAGCCCTGTCGCTGAGGTGTCCTCAGTCACACACCTCCTACTCTGAGGCACACAACTGCAGTCACGTTACGGTGACAGGTCACCACCGTGCCTCTTTGCACGGAGCCTCTTAGCCTAACCAAATGATGTGGTAAAATGCAGTTCTGTAAGCCACTCTCATCAGATAAAAGACAGACACGAAGCTGCTTTGCTTTGTGGAGTTCAAAACTGCTGAAACCTGCCTTTCTACTTCTGCCTGTAAATGACATCCAAACCTGAGCGCACGCAAATGAAACATTTCAAATACGGCTGGGAAATGTGTTGGCTGACCTGCAAGTGGACACAATCCATGAGCTCTTGCAACGTTTTAGGCTTGGTCCTTTTGCTTCCTCTGTGCGGCTTTATCTTTCTGGGTGCAGCTTCCTCTTCCAAGATAATATCCACGTAAATGAACTTGAAGTTTCCTACTTTGTTGTTCAGCATGCCTGTCCATATGCCCATGGGGGTTTTACAGATGATATCTATAATGTCTCCTTTCTAGAACAAGAAAAAAAACACAACACTGCTTACACATCTGGTTTGTTATATGTAGCTTTTCCTCTATGGACCAAAACCAGCACAGACAGCACAGAATTTTAACTAGTTGATACGAAGTAATTTTTTAAAATATCCTAGATTTAGATCCTCTGCTTTTATAAAATCTCAGTAAAATAATTACAGAAAATTGAGTTAGTCCTTATCTCCAAATATTTGTGAAGGAGAGGTGAGCATAAGCATCCCCTCTCACCAATTTTGTGCTCCACTTGGTCCCTGAAAAAGGGTAGGGTTGCAATAGCAATCAACATTTGCCAGGGATAGTGGGCATACCTTTGGCAAAAAGCAAGGGAACACTGTGAGGTTATTTTCCAAATATGTGCCAAACCATTTACACAATAATCTTATTATCCAGCATCTCAAGGGTCTTCAAAAACTGGTAACCGAGCTATGTGAAAGGTGGACTCTTACCCATTTTACAGTAAAAAACACAGGCTACTTTTCTCAAAGGCAGTAAAGAACATTTAACTCCCTTAATATCTTCCTGTCTGTCCTTCCCAAAGGACTGACAAATGTTCCCACAATTGACTGTGAAAATAGTTGAAGGCACCTTAGCAGGCAGATCTAAAGGCTCCAGCTCTCCACACTTGTGCATTGACTCACAAATGTCAGTGCAAAAAAGTGACAACACAGCTACTTCAAGAGGGCTTTTTGGTAAAGGTGTTCACAGCCACACGGTGGGAACCAAGATCTCAGCTCAGCAAAACAGTAACTCTGAGTAATTCTCGTAGTAAAAAGGCTCCCTTGTAAGTCGTATCCCCTACATAACTTGCTCCCATGACCTCAAAATCGAGTCCTCTCTTCTGGGCAGGTGCCACAGAACTTGTAAAAATGTTGAAAGTCTTTAAAGAGTTATCCAACAAAACCCTATATACACACTTCATTTGACGTTCTGTTACAAAGTTAAAAATCAAACTCTGTTAAAATATCTGTTAACAACTCCAAGACTTTTGAATTTTTTCTGGTCTGGTCAAGAAACTGCAAGGAAAGCAGTCATCCTAGTTTTGGTACAAAATGATGAAGTTGACTGTGTTCCAATGACCTGGTTTTGTTAGAATATGGAGCTCAGAGCTATGAGCAGATTTGAAATGAAAGCTAAACAAACATTTGTTCAAAGCTCTGTAAGCATGCGTATTATTCTACACACTCATAGAGGCTCAGGAACTTCAGACATGGATGCAGATCAGGATTAGGCAGTGGCTGTAAGCCAAGCTGCAGACGCACTTTGAATTCAGATTCAGAGTACTGAAATTTTGTGAGACAAATTTAGGGGAATTCAACCCTAAGTATTAGTTTATAATTCTAAAATATACCGCCTCAGTGACTAAAAAGGAACCTATGTGAGCCAGCAGACAGTTGCTGTTTTGTGGCCAGTTAAACTGTTTTGAAAGAAATGCCCCAGGTGTAGGTGAAAGTGGAGGGCAACTGGTGAAGACCACAAGTACTGGCAGAACCATGGCTATAATATAGGCCAGAGAAGAAGAGAGGGACACTGCAAGGAGATAGAGATGAGGGTTTTGACAAAAAGAAGAGGCTGTGAAGAAAAAGAAAAGATGCCAAAGTGTGAATACAATCTGGATATGAAGGTGTTTACAAAGAGGGAAAAGAAAGAAGTCCAGATTACAGACAGGAGTAGTCTGAAGGATGATGACGTTGAATGTATCTCTGCATGGAAGGAGAAGAAAAGGGCTGGGCTTCTTTAGTAACGTTCAATCAGGCCCACGTCTGGAGCTCCTTTTGCTCACTTGCATAGCCTGAACACTCCTGCCACATTGTCAGGGCCAGAGAAAATTGATAGTTCAAAGGTACGCTTAAAGAAAAGCTTAATGGAAAAGCAAGTTGTTTTCATTAAAGGCAATGAGTGCCACTAAGCTTTTGATATAATCTAGTTATGACTAAAAAAAGCTGTGGAGGCAACTTCACATCCCACGAGACTCAAATTTTTCTTACTTCAGACCTAGGATGTGGGAAGCAGCATGTATTTTACTCTGAGGAAAGCTGTGGTAGCCAGGTAGATACCATGATGAGGTACCTACCTGGAGTCTAAGCCTTAAAAAGCCTTCAGCAGCAGTTGGCTTTGCAGCAGTGTCTGAATTAAGTCCTTACAGAAGCATTGCAACACCAGATTGGTCTTGCTTTTAGAGTGTTACACATGCTTAACAGCTAAAAATGCATTAGTAAACATGTTCTTCACGTGTAAGAAATGTCCCTCTGGCATTCTTATTGGAAAAGAAGCAATCCTGGCGGTTGTCTTACCTTGATTTTCAGAGAGTCGGTGTCATAGGGACTTGGTGTGAAGTCGGTGTGAACTTTGGCTCGACCGCAGAAGGGCCCGCTGTAAGGGACTTCGTCATCAAACCGGAGGCTGTCCCTGTTGCTCGTTCCATCTGAGCAGCTGGTCACCCCACCTTAAAGAGAGTCAAGTTGAGAGACCTCCTGCACCAAATACCCAAACATGCAATTCTGCACAGCAGCCAAAAGGAAAGTGTTCAAAAGCACAGAATTAGAGTTTTTTTGTACTGTGTGTGGTTTTGACACATTCTAGGAAAAATACATTCAATAAAAAGCATGCTACAAGAGACTGAAGAAAACAGGTAGGAGCTCTTTCATTAACATCTTCCCTATAGTAATCTTTTTCTGGTGATGATACTAATAGACTACACATTTTACTTACAGACTTTTTGAAATACTACCTCTGCAGATTAATAAAATGTACTCTAAAAGTGCAACTTAGGGAATTAATTCTGCTGAACTTCTCCTGTTTATTCAGAGAAATGAAAACAAGTACTGTAGAAGTTATTTTATTTCATTACAGAGCTAGCTGAAACATCAAAGGAACCTGCATTGCAGAGGGAAATTTTAATCTTATCAACATTTCTGCCTGTCATTTTATCCAAGTTGAGCAATAAAATATCGGCAGAGTAATTCAAGCAAATTTGAGCAAGCTCTGCAATATCCCATCCAAATATGTTTTTAGATAAGAGCAGCAGTGTGTTGGAAGTAAACTCCCATATACAATTTTCACAAATCATATCATAGAAAATGATCATAAAAATCGTTTTGTTTGAGGTGATTGCTTAAGTGCACAGCTCCGTCTCAGGGCCAGATTAACTACTAAGTGCAAATGGTCTGGACCGTAGCTCGGGTCCCCACTTAGGGCTCACGTGGTGCCTGCAGTGATGGCACAGCAACGTCATCATCGGCAGCTGTGGCCTGCTGCCCAGCAAATGTCCACAGCGGAGCAACGGATGGAGAGGTGGAGGCAAACTCCACTTCTCATCAGAGATCCATCTGCTTTCTGACTGAGACTACCCTGTTGGGGGAGGGTTTTCAGCAGGTTTGTGGAGAAGCAGACTGTGTCTCTCTGCATCATGGCCTGAAGCCACCAGGTCAGGCCCCCATCACCCATCATCTCAGAGAGATGCCTCACATCTGCAGGGCGAAGGATGAACTCTCAGCCACTACCCTCAGCGAGGATGCTTGTGTGGCTGCACCCAGTGATTGCGACCCTATGGGTGCCAGCATCATACCAGTGATAACCCCAAAAAACATTTATGGCATATATATCAGCAGCATCCCCTATAATCCATGTTATTTTTTTACTTCAGTTGATATTTCCACTCTTAAAAACACTCAGCTCATTTCTGGAGAGAGGTATATCTACCCTAGCTGCCATCCATTTAATCAAATTACGCTTTTGTCTGCCAGACTGAAGAGCTCTCTACTATCACATTTTTGATCACCAGTCCTGATACCTCAGACTTAAACAATAACAATATTGATCCAGTGACTGAATAAGAAGTATGGATATCTTGTACTTACTAGATGAGCTCTGGCCACTGTTCAGACTATAGAGACTTTCCATAGAGTCACTGGCTTTTAGGGAGACCTTCTCAGTGTGTCCTCCACCACCAGGATCACTGTCGTCTTTTCCTTCTTCATTCTTTAACGCAAAAATCAGATGTTAACCACCAAGTGATGTATTTTAGACAAACATTTGCTTTTTTCTTTTAAATCATCGTTCAAGATTAACTCATCATTACACTTCATTAAGAACCACCCTATCAGAGAAAGCATTGTAGAAGTTGATGCCTGGTACTAAGGATGCCCAGCATCACCCCTAGCACCTTATGATCTTGGAGAAATCCCTTGTCTCCTCTCTGACCCACTCTCTTTATTCAACTCCCACTCAAGCAGCTAAACTGATTCTCCATCTCAGAAGACTGCAATATACCACAGCAGTGACAAAAGCTTTTAACAGGAAATTCGCAGGTAGCCAGGTAAGGTGTTTTTTCTGATTGTCTCAGAGGAAGGAATATAAAGTTTAATTCTGAAAGCACATGGTGAAGGGCTAGCTGACTCAGCCGTGTTTTGCACTGAACTTCTGAAAATCATGGGCGCTTGGCAGCAGGCTGGCACCCAAGCCAGGGAGTTCTGGAGACAGCTTGCACACACGTAGGGCATCGGTGTGTTCCAGCACCATGCTCACCACATTGTCCAACCTACACGTTGGCCTCAAAATCCAGTGCATTTCAGAATTAACAGATACATGCTTCTCTTGCAAAATCTAAAGTTGAACGAAATTAGCCCCTTGAGTTTATAACATTAAATCGCACCTCAGGAATCACAGCCCATTCAAAACAGTAAGATCCATATTTCAGTCACAGGTAAGTTAGGGATAATGTAACAACTAAATGAAATAATGATGACCTTTCAAAGGAAGGAATTTCTTCAGCAGATTTCATCACATCAATGTGCGTGATACTCTGATGCAACTGAAACATCCTGCAGTACTTAGGATGTTATGTTATATTTGGGGAAATATTAATTATTCATCAGTCGGTTGATGAAGTCAAGCAAAGAAGACAGTGCATGTATGAAGTAGAGACCCATACAGATATGTATAAGGCATAGCACTGAAATGCAAGATTATGTCATTTTTCAACAAGTTACACCAGTCAGCAGCATAACCCATAGATTAATCAGGGGGCCAGTATTGATTGTCATCATCTCTTGCAGGAAGGAAGATTATGCTACATGTGTGCCCAACCAGATGATTCATTGAATTTCTGCCATATGAATCGTCGCTGTAAATGTGCAGAGTATAAATGTTGAAATTCTGTCTTTTCTTTCTTATAATATAAAAATCATAGATTACAACCTCTCAAATTTTAGCAGAAAACGCAAACTAAACCAGTGACATAGGAAACCTTGTCTTTGACCTCCAAAAACTGTCTAAAGGTATCCTGTGAAACACTGTTTTCTATTTGTGAAGTTTTTTATTTATTTTTCCCTACTTATTTGATATTGACATGTGTGAGAAAGGATGAGGACTAGCTAGATTTTTTAGGATGATTAAGTATGACAAGTCCTTATTCCTTATGTTTTTTAAAGTTTGGAACTCACTGACACAACATATTGAGTAAACAGGACTTGGAGTGTGTGAAACATTGTAAGGTTTTTATGTTTAATAAAGATATGTTCACTAAGATTAGATAGGGCAAAAGCAGATAAGGCGTATGAGTTATCATGCTCTAGGGTGCTGGCTGACCTCTACAAAATGGACTTTGGAAATAATTCTTGTATTGAAAGCATTTTGTACAAATTGAGTATCAGACTGCCGGTGGAGTTCATCCAATACTCCCTTGTATCCATCGGGAGATTTTTTTGTGATGCTTATATGGATACTCCTTGATGACAAAGCAAAATTCAATGATGTAAAACTCCTGTGTCTATCTTGGGCCCTTATTGTGTGATGCTTTAACTGTATATATGCATGTGTGTATACACTAACATGCACATGAAAGAAAGGGTACATGCTAAAAGCTGTTTTAATTCACTATGTGTTACCGTGTTTTTATGGATTGTCATAAACTGGTAATTGAAACATGAACAGGAAAAATGCGTATAACATTTTTACTTCACATGTATTCTCATCAAACACAAGATTCTTAAGCTGTATTTACCATCTCCTCAGAGAGTGCCTTGATGTACTTTTTACCCATCTTCTTCTTCATGGTAAGGGAGATGGCTCTCATCTTCTTACTCAAACTTCCTCCATTATTTGCTGCTTTAGTTTGTACTGTGTCTCCAACATCGCTTATAGTCTCCAACTCAGATATCTAATTTGAAATAAAAAAGTAAGCAACAACTCACCATGAGAATGAAATTCAGTGTAGTGGAATAGGAATTACAGAAAAATATTAAGGACACCAATGCAGTTAGGATGACAAAAGTCAGTCATAGCCATTTCCCTGGGGAATCATGTACCTAAACAGGTTTGCAGCACACCACTGTACGTGTGAATGACAGAAAGAAAATATATTTTATGCTAGAAAATGTTGTTTCCCATTGTTTGTTGTCCTTGATCCAAACAACAATTGAGGGGATTTATGCAGGTTCTTGAAAACAAAAATGACACATCAGTGGGTTGCATACATGTGCTGGTTACTTTGAGCATGCACCCACCTAAGTGCACTTTTGTCTTTTTGAAAAACTGTTTCTAATCTTCTCATCAAAGTTTGGGTGTGATTCTCTTGAGCAAGGGCTCTATCACCCAAACAGATCCAGGTACACAAGCAAAGTTCTCACCAGTGTAAAATTTACACAACAGTATCCCAATGTTTTTGCATAACTGCCATGGGAAAGTGAACTGAAGAAAATAAAACTCTGTGTTATACAGACCTCAGCTGAATCATCTGTCTTTGATGTTGAGTGATGCCTGAAACGGTCAAAGCTTCCGAAGCTGCTTGTGCGCTGTAAGAAAAGAGAAGACAAACCTTGACTCACTGATGGTGTTTTTTTCTGTTATTAAGACTTAAATACAACTGTCAAGTCACCTGGTTTTGTTAAAAATTCCTCCCAGATCAGTGGACCATGAACTGCTACATCCAGCTAGAAACAAACTGGGAGGTGACTATAGGGAAAAAAAAAATTGTGACTGTACAGCCAGAAGCAGAAAAATGAATAAGAGAACCAATGCTGCTTCAAATACTACGTAGATCATGGATATGATTGACTTCTTCTACATCAGTTTCATATTAATTACACACAGTAAGATTGCTGTCCGTGAGCTTAGGAAAAAAGGTGTTTCCATAAATACTGTATGACCTATGGAGTTGGTTATGGTGGTGTCAACTGTGGCAACTTACACATTTTACTTTTGATGCTGGGGAGACGTTATGGTTCTTTACCAG